ATATATATATATATATATATATATATATACACACACACACACATATCCGTATATATATGTATACATATATATATATATATATATATATATATATATATATATATATATATATATATATACATATATATATATATATTGACATAGTCAAATGCCAACTCTCGTTTTTGTTACAAGGAGTCCGTCTTGGTCCTAGTATTGTCTTTTTTTTAAAGTTTGGAAACAAAAAGAAGTCGGATGGGGCTAAACCGGGGCTGTAAGATGGATGTCGCATGATTTCCCATCGAAATTCACGTAGCGCAGCTTTGGTCTGCCGAGCGCCGTAACCGGGTGGAAGAGAAGCTTTCCAGGGCGTTTTATTTTTTATTTTTTATTTTTTTTCAAAACGCATTCATAAAAAAGCAGATGTAATTGTTTTCTTGCTCTCGAGGGAGTCAACAGCAAAATCCCCTCTGTATCCCAGAAGGCAGTAGCCATAATTTTTTTCTCTCTTAGGGACCCATCAAGCGAAAGTCTTGCTCAGCCCCAAACTCTCCACCAGAATTGATTGAGTTTGATTCCATTTGTTACAATGGATATCCTTGGTGTGACAGAGCGTCTGTTCTATTTTGCTTCTAAGTTATCCCCAGTGTGCAAGGAATGGCCGGGGTTACCATCCACTGGCGGCGAGGGATTCGAACGCAGGTCAGCAAGATTGCTAGACGAGATCGAGTGATTTGCCTATTCTTCCAACCGAATTTCACCATGAATTTAATGTTTGTCCTGGCCTCGATTTTGATGGATTCCATGTTGCTTGAATGGTGCTTGACTTCCAACTGGCGGTGATGCGTTATTACCTACATTTAAGTGTTCATGTTTAAAACTTTATAAGACGTTGGTACAAGAATGGTCAGGTACATTGAAAACAAGATCCTTCCATTAGATTTTTAATTACGGACTTTTTTCACGAATTTTCTGAAGCCTCCTCGTGTGTGTATATATATACGTATATATACACATACACACAAACATGTGTATATATATATATATATATATATATATATATATATATATATATATATTATATATATTTATATATATTTATATATATATATATATATATATATATATATATATATATATATATATATATATGCGTGTGTGTGTGTGTGTGTGTGTGTGTGTGTGTGTGTGTGTGTGTGTGTGTGTGTGTGTGTGTGTGTATACACACACACACACACACATATATATATATATATATATATAGATAGATAGATAGATATATATATATATATATATATATATACGTTATGTATATATTCATCATACATACTTACATATTTTCTCTCTCTCTGTATATATATATATATATATATATATATATATATATATATAAATATATATATATATATATATATATATATATATATATATATATATATATATATATAATATACTCTTATTACAGTTTCTCTGTGATTGCCAAGTGGAAAGGAAAATCTAAAGTTAGTTTCAGATACGCTTAATTTATTTTCATAACCCTAATTTAAGTAATCAAACACCTTTTCAATTCATAGTTTTACTACGCTTTGGAATAAATATCCAATTATTTAAAAGACTGATATGTTTTATGATTTACATACAAAAGATTTTTTGATATATTATTCAAATGCATCAGCAAAATAAAAAAAAATCCCTATGTGTTTGCTAGATATATCGAGAAACAAAAAGCTTGTATCCGATCCATTACGGTCAGTTCATCCCACAGCAGGCTCAGGCGTGCTCCGCTGCAGCAGAAGGAAGGGCGAAAACCGCTCCAGCTCGGGTCGCCGGAACCACAGGCGATTGTCCAGAGTCCTCTCCTTTATTAGGTTTTCTTCTTTTTCGTCCGCTTCCTGCATGACACGTATCCACCATGGCTTCAGGTAACTGTGTGCATATACTGTGCGTCAATTGAGATTTTCCATGTAATAATCAGAATGTATGTAAGTACTGCATGTTTGCTTCAGTAAAATGTATCAATCATATACTATAAATATACTATTTAAAGTTAGCTTCTACAACAGGAATTCATGGAAAATCTTGCCAGTTCCGTTTCCTTAATTCATTGTTAAAATTAGTTTGTCATTCATATAAAAAGGGAAGGATTTCGGCATACCTATAGTCACTGAAAGGGTAACCTATAATAAAAAGTTCTGTTTCATAGTACGAGAGACGGAAGAGGCCTCTGTGATGCGAGCGAGTGTCCAAATGCCAAACCCCGAGGCACTGAAATAGGAGACAGAGTGGAAATTACAGCACATCCTGCAAACAAGTAATCATCATACAAGAGCAATCGTTGAGTTATTCTTTGAAACTGGTATTGGACAGGACTGGCGAGATACTCACACTGGCAATCTTCCTCCAAGTTCCGTGCTGTTCATTGCTTTCCATGGTAATGAAAATAACGACCGGTCCATCCTGAAACGGCGTTTAATTTTAGGTCACATGATAACACACCATTTCTTAATTTCATAAATAACAACTTACAAATACTAAATCCTATAAAACTATGAAACTGTAACTTTAACTTGCATCATAATTCGCCTTCTACAAATATATTGTAGAATCATGTTTAACAATCCATAATGTAGTGTGAAAACGTTACTAATTCGAATTATTAAAACAACATCAGTGTTATTAAATTTGCCCTATTTTTTCTTAGTATACTGTCATTCATTTAACATTTGCTGAGGTTACATTTTTAAATTTATTTCAGTGTCCCTGCCGTTGAGAAGCGCTGTATATGAGATGATTTTATTCGTTAAATTGGTGTAACCACTAGTAAAACTGGCGACATAAACAAGCAAATACTAAATATATATACACATACATTATTTCATAACGCAAGAAATTTCAAAATATCTACATGTGGAATATATGCATCGACGGGATTTTAAAAATTACATACATCAGAACACCGCATTGGGCAGTTTCATATCATCCGAGGGCATGACGACAATGATGTGGACAACAAACGATAAGTCAAAGGTGTCTCATTATGTTCTATAAATTCGTTTTACATTTATTTCTATAGAAGGCATGACAGAAAAGCGTCAGATAATGTTCTTACGTTATTAATTATGATTCATATATTTTTATCGATTGAACATACGTGGGAATATATTCATTTAATATTTGTTAATGTAAATTAAAATAAAATAAACACTAGCAGTGAAAAATTACAAAAGTAGGTCCGCCTACCGTGAAATTCCTAGGCAGATAGCCTCTGCTGCAAGGATGACGTGTCGTATTAAGGAAGTATATGTTGTCATTCTCTAATATGTCATATAAATATTCTTCATATTCAAGCACTGTCAACCTGCAAGGACGAAAGGAGGAAAAAATAGAAAAGAAATGAACATACACTTTTTTTATAAAATAAATAGGCTGGAGTGTCTGCGGTAGACACGGCTGCACAGAGGTTCTTCGTCAAGAGGTTCTGTGTAAACAGAAAAGGCTAAGCAATGCGTCCTCCTTATTCGCGACGCGTGAGTCAGAAACATGGACTACGATTAAAATACAGGAGAGGAAATTAGTGCAACAGAGGAAGGCCAAGACTGGTGCTGGGCATTAGTCTGAGGAATAATATGAGGACAAATGGATCAAATAATAGAAAATAAAGAAAAAATAGGAACACTAAAAGAAATGGCAATGGGCAGTTCACATATGTCGAAGGCAAGACGACAGATAGACGAAGAAAGCGACAGAGTGAGGATGGTATGAGAACTAATTCGGTAGACACGGCTGCACATTTGGGACAAGAAAGTCAAGGGCCAGATCAATGATCGTGGGACGAAACTATGTAGTTCGGGAACCAATATTGGTAACAGAGCGCAAGGCAGCAAGTGTGTGTGTGTGTGTGTGTGTGTGTGTGTGTGTGTGTGTGTGTGTGTGTGTGTGTGTGTGTGTGTGTGTGTGTGTGCGCGCGCGCGTGTGTGTGTGTACGTGTGTGTGTGTACGTGTGTGTGTGTGTGTGTGTGTGTGTGTGTGTGTGTGTGTGTGTGTGTGTGTGTGTGTGTGTGTGTGTGTGTGTGTGTGTGTATGTGTGTGTGTGTGTGTGTGTTCACATATATATATATATTCTCCCTCGCCGAGACAGTCACCAACCTATCTTCCCTGTCCTTGACCGCCCATCAGTAACAACTCCTTGGCTTCGGTCTCTCCTTTGCTCTCTGCCCTCAGCCCCTCATCTCCATCAACATAATTTCATCCTTTGACGGATTCATCTTGTTTCCCGGAGGCGAATCTCATCAACTCCCTCATTTCTATGGGCTTCCAAAAACCCATAAGCCGGCCGTGCCTCTGCGCCCCATCATCTCTTCCCGGGAATCTGTGACGTACCTTCTTGCGGCCTGGCTGACGAAGTCTCTAACTCCCCTTCTCGGCACCTTCTCTTCTGCTCACCTCTGCCACTCTCAGGTCTTCTTTTCCCGTGTCCGTGGAGTCCCGCCGGTGACCACTTGATGACGTCCTGGCCTTCCTTCAGAGGAAGCTTCCCACAGAGGATCCTCGTCTCCCTCTGCCCACCGACGTCTTCCTCCAGCTGATTCGTCTGTGTGTGGAATCAAATTCCTTTTCCTTTAAGGGTCGATTAAGCTCACAGACCTGCGTTGTTGCCATGGGCTCTCCCCTCTCTCCGGTCTTGGCAAACCTGTTCATCAAATTCTTCGTATCTAAGATTCTCCCTTCCATCTCCCTTCGTCCGCTGATGACTGCTGATGACGTCTTTGCTCTCTGGATCCTGCCCTGTTCTCGGACTTCCTGACCCAGCTGAACTCTCTCTCTCCTTCCATCCGTTTCAAGGTGGAATAGGAGGTTGCCAACAAGCTCCCCTTCTTGGACATGCTAGTACATTGCTCTGCTGACCATTTCTCCTTCCCCATATACAGGAAGCCTATGCATAGTGGCATGTATATACATTCTTCTCATACCATCCACTCTATGTCAAGAGAGGTGTTGCCACTTCGCTGTTCCTCCGCGCT